CACCCCAATACTGTTTAAGTGTGAAACTTAGATAGATTTTCAAAGTAAAGAACCTTTTAGCACATGTCCTAGGATCAATCTGATCGATCCTGTGAGTCACCGAAGTTAGATTTGGAAGATCAGCGGTTGTTTTCTGATTTTCAAGGGAAACAGTACCTTACAATGTTTCTTATTTATTCTATCTCTCATCAATCTGTCCTTATGTGTGTGACCCTGTAGGTTGTCGTATCGTTGACAGTTATATTAAATCTTATATTTAATATAATAAACATTGAGTTGTATCTAGCAACACATCACTGCTACCCAAGTCATGAAAATGTCATGTGACCTAACAAAATCGTTTGTGATAGTACTTGTGTATATAATTACCCTTTTGCCCTTATGTCTATATTGAACACAAGGCATATACCATGTCATCCTTCTCCAGTCCAATATTGGGCTCTTAGACATATATCCTGTTATGTAGGGTGGGAAAATTCCATCTAGGTCACTCATGTCCCTTAGCATGCTTTGTGGAGTATCCATCAACTGTCTTTATGGTCATCCAGTTACGGACAATGTTAGATCAGTAATAAAGTACTCGACTCTACATCTAAGATCCATAGTGGTTTCAGGTCGAAGGGTGGTATACACCATTATCACCATGAGAGTAACTTATGACACTTTGCATAACATTCTATGTAGTACTCTCACATCAGGTCAATCCAGTATAAATATTACTCATAATATTCATACTTATGTTAAGACTTGATAACTCCTTATCCATGATCCATGAGATGTGATCATCAGTCTATCTACATAATAATCTTAATGTTTTAAGGTTATTCCGCTTAATAATAAAGCTCGACTATAAATACTTTAATAATAGTGTTCATATGTTTAATGGGATCTCATGATTAAGTCACACTTAATATTTCATTAAACGAACTAGTTATTCTAGGGACTTTACTATTCTGGAAAAACAAACATAATAAAGAAATGCCTTTTATTATTAATAAATAATTTGATACAAGTACCAAAACTAATGGCCTTTAGGGCTTACACCAACACAATGGCTTAATTTTAACTCTAGAAAGAGGATAAAGATCAGATGTGTTAATGATAAATATCTTAATGTTGCTGGAATGGGAAATGTCAAGGTCAGAGTGAATAATGACAAAATTGTTCTGATCAAGGATGTTTGATATGTTCCTGGCATGAAGAGAAATATTATGAGTGTAGGTCATCTTATTGAGAAAGGTTTCTAAGTTACTATGAAGGACAATCTTTTGAAGTTGTACGATTCTGATAACAAGTTGATTATGCAATCTGAGCAAGGAAGCAATAGAATATTCAAAGTGAATGCGGAAACAGTTGAAACTTAAATCCTTAGTGCTGAAGGTGACAGTGGACTTTAGCACAAGAGATTGGGGCATCTGAACTCCAGAAGCTTATGGAATCTAAGTTCTAAGAAGCTGGTACATGCCATTCCTAAGATTGTGAAGCCTGAGAAGTTATGTGAGATATGCATGAAAGGCAAGCAACCTAGATTTCCATCTGCATCAGAAGTTGCTCCAAGAGCAAAACATGCTTTGGGAGTAGTGCATTATGATGTATGTGGACCATTTGAAGTACCTTCAATTGGAGGAAACATGTACTTTATATCATTTATGGATGAGTTTACAAGAATCACATGGGTAGCACTCATCAAGTTTAAGCATGAGGTGTTTGCTGAGTTTCAGAAGTTCAAGGTGAAGGCTGAAAAATAGAGTGGTCAGAAGCTGAAAATTCTTATAACTGATGGTGGATGTGAGTACAACTCATCACAGTTTAGAAGGTTCTGTGAGGAGGATGTAGTTGACCATGAGGTGATTGCTACATATACTTCACAACATAATGGTCTTTCTGAAAGAAGAAACAAGGCTTTGCTTGATATGACAAAGAGCATGCTGAAGGAGAAGAAGTTATCTCACACCTTATAGGGAGAAGTTTTTGCCACTACAACATATATGCTCAATAGGTTTCCAACTAAGAAGTTGAAGGAAACTATTCCTTTTGAGAAGTGGACTGGAGAAAAGCAAAGTGTGAGTCATCTGAAAGTGTTTGGTTATGTCTGTTATTAACATGTCCCAGATGCTAAGAGAATGAAGTTTGATGATAGAAGTAGATTAATATTACTGATTTTTGTACCATAGTACATGTGCTTATAAGCTTTATTGTTCTGTCACTAATAAAGTTGAATTAAGTATAGATGTTATTGTGAAGGAAGCAGAAGCATGTGATTAGAATAAGTCTCAATCCAACTATTGTGCAGTGTTAACACCTGAGTTAACTTGTGAAGATATTTCAGACTCTAAAGAAGAATCTTCCTCTAAAGGAGATTTTGCCTCTAAAGGCGAGTCTGACTCTGAAGGTGACTCTGATGTTGAAGTTCAGTCTAAGGCGAGTGTGATTCTATAGGTGAATCTGTTCTGATCTAGAGTCTGATGATGATTCGTACTCTGGTGGTAATCATGCCTCTGAAGGTGGGCATGCCTCTAAAGGTATTCCAACATCTGATACTATTCCAGCATCTAAAGAAGATTGTGAACAAGTTCAGAGGCCACAAAGAATTAGAAAAATATCAAGAAGGTTTGTAGAGTTTAACTTGTTGTAAGATACTGAGGTAGACTCTAAAGGGGAAGTCATTCAGTGTTCCATGTTGAAAGACACTGAACTAGTTAGTACTGAAGAAGCTCTCAAGAAGAAAATGTGGCTGAAGGCCATGAAATAATAACTTGAGGCTATAGAAAGAAACAAGACTTGGGAGTTAACTGAGCTTTCAAAGAACAAGAAAGTCATCAGTGTGAGATGAGTTTACAAATTGAAACTGAAGTCTGATGGATCAATTGGAAAACACAAAGAAAGACTAGTAGCTAAAGAATTTCTACAAAAATATGAATTAGATTACTTTGAAGTGTTTGCAGCTGTAGCTAGACATAAAACAATCAGATTAGTGATTTCTATAACTGCTAATAGAAATTGGCCTATGATGCATTTAAATGTGAAATATGCATTTTTGAATGGTCATTTATAAAAGGAAGTTTACGTATCACAACCTCCTGAATTTGTGAAAAAGAATCAGGAAGGGATGGTGCGCAAGTTACATAAAGCCTTGTATGAACTGAAACAAGCTTTCAGAGATTAGAATATGAAAATTGATTCATTTTTCAAGCCTTAAGGATTCAAAAAATGTGAGATCGAGTATGGTGTTTATGTTTAGCATACATCTGATAGAAATATGATTTTGGTGTGTCTCTATGTGGATGACATATTGCTAACAAGGAATTTTAAGATGAGATAGTCAAGTTCAAAAAAGTTCTAATGAATGAGTTTGAGATAACTGATCTAGGAAATATGGTATATTTTTTAGGGGTGGTGATTTTGTACTCTGATAAGGGTATAATTTTGCATCAGCTGAAGTATGAACTTAACCTTCTGAAGAGATTTGAGCTAAGAAATTGTAAATCTGCAATCACACCGGTTGAAACAAATCACAAGTTAGATTTTGATGTTGGGGATGTAGATGCTACAATTTTTTAACAATTGATATGCTCATTGAGATATCTCTGTAACAGTAGACCTGACATCTGCTATGCAGTTGGAACGATAAGTAGGTTTATTAACAAACCAAAATGGTCACATTACCAAGTTGTTGTCAGGATACTGAGGTATATAAAAGAAACTCTGAGGTATGGATTTTTGTTCCCTTCTGGTGCTGAATTTGATTGGTGTGGAGATAGAGTTGACAGAAGAAGTACTTCTGGATATTTCTTCAAGTATCTGGGGGTTGCATTTCTTGGTGCTTCAAGAAGCAATCAGTGGTTGCATTGTCAACCTGTGAAGCTGAGTACATTGTAGGTGTTTTATCAGCATGTCAAACTATTTGGATTCTGAACTTATTACAGGATCTGAAGGTCAGGGTAAGCAAGCATGTGAGGTTGATTATTGACTATAAATAAATTATAAGTCGTGTCAAGAATTCAGTGCTGCAAGGAAGAAGCAAGCACATTGACACAAAGTTTCATTTTTTGCTTAATCAAGTTCAGAATGGATTTCTTAAAGTTGTTCACTATAGCACTTAAAAGCAATTTGCATATGTGCTAACTAAAGCTATTAAGGTTGAACATTATATCCATTTAAGGGACGAAATTGGTGCTGTTGATTTTAGTCTTAAATGTGGATTAAGGGATGGTGTTAAAGTGTAATCCAAATTCAATTAGTTAGCATTTTCATTTAAGTTACATTTAGATTTAATTTGAATTTCCTTTAGTGGCTATGATAGTATATAAATTGAACTCAAATTCAATTTGATGTAGAATCATTTTACTATAACCATTTTTTGTTGTGAAAGAAAGTTAGTTCCAATCTTTGTCTCTCTTTCATCTTCTTCATCTTCAATTTTATGCTCCAATAACGTTCAGGTTTCAATGAAATTGAATGAAGTGTGGACGATGCAAGAAGTCCAACAACAAATACAAAATACACTCTAATATGGTATTAGAATTTAGATTTACCCTCACTCATTTCTACAAAACTAATTTGTAAGGTGAATATTGTTCATACTTTATAAACATTTCACATGTCATATCCATAAGCAATTTGAGACTAAATCCACATCTACAAACCCAACACAATGAAGGCAAACAAATGTCATAATCATGCGATTAGAATCGCAGCGGAATTTCCAATAGATAAGATGAGCAAGATGATAATAATATAGAAGAGATAAAGAGAAAATCATTCCTTCCTTAAAGGTAGACAATGGCAATCCCATTGTCCATAGTATTTATATAAACAACATTCTATGAAACAAGTTATGTATCAAGGAAGAGTAGCCTATGTATGAACAACTAGAATTTCTATCTTAATCTTCTTCGATTCAAATCTTGGGCCAAAAAAACCTAAGGAATAGACAACCAATACAAAAGGTACAAGGAACTGGTAACTGAGGGGAAAAAATGCTGGGTATCGCTATAGTCTCATAGAGCTGTCATCATGGCCCCCCTTGCAGCCTCACGCTTCATCTGTGCAGCTTTCCCACTGCCGCGAAAGTACATGTATACTTGCTGCAATTATAAACCAAACATTAAACAAGAAAGTAGAAGTAGATTCAAGAGAATACTTATGTTATGTTTGATTATTAAAAAGAACCTGAATAACCCATATGCTCAGTAGTGATTCAATGGCGAAAAAACCAAACCCAACAAGGTAGAGAATCTGCGATTGGGCACAGTTATTACAGTTAATACCATTTAAAATTATAATCATTACAAGACATGAAAACAAAACTTCCTTCTAGAATAAACTTATCGACTATATAGTTGGAACATACCCCAACCACTGGATTGTAGGTCAGCACCTCAATTGCAGGAAGAATACCTCTGTTCACAGAATATGCATTGGAGGGAAGTGAGGAGGTAGATTAAAAAAAAGGAATGAAAGTATTTGAAGGAAACTCACGTGAGAGATTTTCCTTTGAAGATAATTGGAGGTGCAACTGCAGCCAGAACGCAAAACAGGATGTGGAACTGTTTGGAGACAATGAGGAACAAATAAATAAAAAGAGCACTTGGCAAAATAAGCACATAATGAATGGTTACTGCTAGAAAAAATATATATATAACTTGCCGAGTAACACAAGAAAAACCAGCCAAATTTTAGAGCACTGTCCGTTCTGTAACACAGGAGATGGCACATAATTATAAAACAAAAACATGCCAAAACCAGTAAAATTGGATTCGATCAGATGAAAACTACCTTGTAGCACGATAAAGAGGGCGATACCACATCACATAGGATCCTGGAACACCGGAAATGAAGTATATGATAGCAAGAAACCATATTGACAGACCTACAATGTAAAACAAGTTTGTGTTAACGGTTAACAGCAACATGGTAGCATGTCTACTAGAATAAATTGATGGGGGAGTAAGATATAACACAAACCTTCTCCTTTGAGCCAAGCTACTGTAACAGCAGCAATATTAAAAGTGAGACATAAAACCAAACCTGCAAATTGTTACAAAGTTCAAAATCAAGATCCGCAATAATTAGAGTAAGACATCATAGAAAGATATTTAAAATTTTAAGCAAGAAACTTCTGCAAAAAGGTAGGAGGTGACATTTTGTAATTCTATTTTATTTTTATAGAATGCAAAAGGATGAAAGATACATGTCCCCAGCAGAAGAAGACATCCCCTTCTTTTGTACTTTTGTTTAATGTTACAAAAAAATACATGATTTTTAGAAGTCTTTAACACTGATATGAAATTTACTAAAGCAAGCTTGCCCATGTAAGGTTCAACAGGAAGGCATGCAGAGTATTTTATAGCATATCATGGACAAGAAGCAACACCATTTGTAGTTTTTTTGCTGCTATAGATTTTGCAAAGTGACAGAGTCTTTGTTATGTCCTATAATATTCATGGAACGGGGTGTTTTTTGGTTTCCATTTGGTTATTCTTTAGTACAACTAATGAAGTTTACAGTATATTTGGTTTGGCTTTCATTTAATCTTTCTCGGGTTCCAAGACAAATCAAGCATTAATATATAGAAGCTACAAGTTGTAGCTTCAAGGTGGACTTTCATTTGGTTGGGTTTCACCATCAAAACAAACATAGGCTTAGTATCATTTCTTGAAAAAATCACTTTGCTTGGTATTCAACATAAACCTTAGAAAACTGTATATGATAAGTAAATTACACTGTCACAAATACAACAAATAGGAAATATAACGGCAGTAATGAATTCGAGACATGTTCATGATAGTTTTCTTCATGACACATAGGACTTCTGTTTACTTTCACTTTTAAGGAAATATGGAGCTTCCACCATTCCATGCTTTAAATATTACTTTTAAGTGGGATCTTATATCAGAAAAACAAAGGATGCAGGAATTTTTTAATAGTTGAACAGAAAGGACTTTGAATGCTATAGTAATTAGGTATTTTATTTACTAGCATATAAAAATTAATCTTATGCCAAAGATACTAAATTATTACCTTAAAAAAGATACTAAACTTATTAAGGCACGCATGAAGCAAAAGGATTGAGTACTATAAGTTTCAAATAGTTTCCAATTTCAGTTATGGTTTGGAGCATTCACATGAATACAACACGAATATGAAACTGCCTTTTCGTCCAAATATCAAAAAACATAGTTACTTATCACTTATACACAACCTTATAAGTTATAACAATAAAAAGGACCAACGTACCCAACCATGTTGCAAACGCAAAATACTGGATTGTCTGAAGATGTATTGGTATTTCACTTGCGATGTCATGATGAATGAGAGGAAAAAAAGGGGGCCAATTTTTTTCCTCTATGATTATTCCGGCTGCAAAACCAAAATGTGAACCACTAAAATGAAGACATTATTCCCGTGGGCTTCTATCAGTATAGATGAACTTAAAATACCTCGTGCTATAGCATCTTCCTTTCTTTTTAACTCCTGCAAAACATCACAAGATCATGAGTTGCCTAATTGATTCAAAAGATTATTTACACAAACAAAAATAGAAAAAAAAATGAACATATTTAGAATTGATGGTGTGATATGACTGCTTATTCAGCTCATACACTAAAAGTTGAACTAAAGTATTACTCATAATTTGTAATGAAGAAAAGGAATAAGTCGTCGTATTGAAGAAACAACATAAGCCACCTTTGCTGCCAATGAGGTCCCTATTATTTACTTACATTTATAGAACCACCATTAATATATACAGTCAGCTATAGTCATAAAATAACAACCAATCAAACAAGCTACTAACTTAATAAAAATGAATTATGGTTCAAAACAATCAAACAAGAGATCAGGATGAATTACCTGTTCCCTTTTTTTCAATTCAGCCTCTCTAGCTTGAAGTTCTTTTTCCCTTGCTTTGAGTTCCTGAACAAAATACGTAATTAAATTTTTGTCTACAACAACACTTTGGCATCAAAACTTTGACATTTACTTCCACATTTTGATAATTCAGTCTCTACCTTTGGCATATCAAGAGGAATGTCAACAGTTACCCCACGATCATGAGGCTCATGAGGAAGGGGAGTGAGCTTTCCTGAGGTTGCAGGGGAAACACTTCCTGGGTTCTGTAAAATTATTAAGGGGTAAGTAATATAGGAATGTAATAAGTAATGAAAGGTAAAAGAGATATCAAGATTTAATTTATTACAAAGAGGGATTGAGTATAAACAAATAAAAACTTCAATTCTTCTAGTTCTAGATATTATTCCAGTTTAAGATTGTATAAACTATATGCAACACATACATAAGATACATTTAAAACATGTTGGTGCTTCCATTGTCATGATATGATTAACTAAAGTGTTGTAAGCTGATATATACAATGATAGAAGTGAGATGAACAAGAGAGCTTACAGTAGTGTAGAATGCCCCTCCACCATAATTTGGTTGCCCTGAAGCTTTTCCTTTAGCACCTCCATCCTAACATTGTTAATCAAAATGCAAAATTAAGAGACTAAAAAAACAAAAAATTAACTGTGAACCACATACTCCGACACAGACACGACATGATACAGACTCTTGGAAGCTGATAATTCAAAAAACACATGATATCTACACCCATACATATATGGTAGTTTTTGACATTTCATTTATCCATCCAATATTTAAAGAGTTAAACATATTTTAACACATTTTTACCCATTTAAATGTGTTTGAGATTTGTATAAAAAATATAAGTGCATCGAAACAAAAAATTTTTTCGAAACACTTATTCGAGTTGTCTGACACGTGTTGTATAAATGTCTTAAAAGTGACGGGAATTCAAAAAGTGTCTAATAAAAAAATCACTATTTAAAATATTTATCTAATCATACTTTATATCGAACAATATAATATGTCTAATCATACTTTATATTTCAATTAATAGAACTTAAATATTTAAAAATTATGATTGTTAATGGTGACCAAGATCAATTTTCATGATCTGAGTTCCATTGATTTAATAGCACTAATCACGTTTGAGTTAATTATTACACACACAAAATATAAACAATCTAGACTTATTTCACTAACTGAAGTGAATTATATGAATCAAATTTAGTCATAATGCATCAATAAAAATCATATCAAATTGTGCGTGCAATAAACATTTTTCATGCAAAAAAAGAAGAAGTCACAAGAAAAAACCAATAAATAATTAATCAGAGAATAACGACGGTAGGTTAATTATGACAGATACATTGTTCTAACTTGTAACAATATGTAAAATTAAGTTACACTAAATCATTCATATACCTTCGCGCAGCTATTCATGAAGCACGTTTCTATTTAATTAGCAACATTAGGAATAATTTGATTAATTCGATTCATTCATGAATGATGTAAAATAGGAAAATTCAACGCCGTTGCAATGCAAAAGAAGTAATCGGAGAAAATATGATGAGAAACTTACGGCAAAGGGATTCACCTCATCTTCGGCGAAGGGATTGGTTTCGAAGGTAGTCATGGGATTCGATGAAGTCGAAACTACGTAGACGAAGATCTAGAAAGAGAAATCTGAGATGAAAATGGATACTACGGGAATTTTGATTTTGAGAATGGTAATTAATGGAAAAAGAAGGGAAGAAGGGATTCGTTTGAGAGAGAGAGAGGGTGTGGCCTCGCAAATGTAATGTGAAACTAACTGAAGAGAAAGGAAGAGAAATCACGGATGGATGGGAGCAAACTTTTCATGCATGTTGTTATACTGTGTTGCTCGCATTTGTTTGTTTCTCGTTATATCAATTTCATTTTATCAAAATATCTGATTTTAAATTATGTCAAACTAATTACTATATTTGTACGATCATATTTTTAAAAATTGCAATAATTAATCATAGTTTTACAAAATTGTAAAATAGTTAATTTTCATATTGGATATCGGTAGTATGGATTACATTAACAATAAGCATATCAGAAAAACTAATTAAATCAACAATTTAAATCAAATCATACTGAAAAAAATCTATTGTTTTTCGTTCAATTTAAAAACTGAACCAAGGCAATCAAAATTCAGAAGATTTGGTTCGCTTCTCAATTTTAGTTTTTAGAAACCATCAAATTGATATACTAAATTAATAATTGTAAATTTCAATTTAATTCATTATTAGGCCTAAATTTTGTATGAATTTAATTCATATGTATGGATTTTACATTGTCAATCAATCATTCTTGTGTATTCGATTACATTGTAATTTTTAAGTTAAGGATATGACATGTCAGATTAATAAATATTTATTAAATGATTGTGCAAAATTATTTTATAATGTCAGTGCATACCAATTAAACTCATTTTATATTTGTCCAGCACTTGTTCATCTTTTTCTACACTTCTTTTCTTTTGAACAAAATAATTATTCAAATTGTATTGATGTGAATATTGATGAATGAAAATAATTTTATATATATATATATATATATATATATATATATATATATATATATATATATATATATATATATATATATATATATATATATATTAAATTAATAATTATAAATCCCAATTTAATTCATTATTAGGCCTAAATTTTGTATGAATTTAATTGATATGTATGAATTTTACACTGTCAATCAATCACTCTCGTGTATTCGATTACATTGTAATTTTTAAGTTAAGGGTATGATATGACCAATTAATAAATATCTATTAAATAACAGTGTATTCGATTACATTGTAATTTTTAAGTTAAGGGTATGATATGACCAATTAATAAATATCTATTAAATAACAGTGCAAATTTATTTTACAATGTCAGTACATACCAATTAAACTCATTTTATATTTGTCCAGCAGCACTTATTCATCTTTTTCTACGCTTCTTTTCTTTTGAACAAAATATGTATTCAAATTATATATATATATATATATATATATATATATATATATATATATATATATATATATATATATATATATATATATATATATATATATATATATATATATATATATATATATATATATAATTAGATGTAACTTTTTTTTTAAAATAAGATAATTCAATAGAAAGAAAAAGGTGTACACAAAAAAGAGCAAAGGATTAGGCCAAAATCCTTTTAAGGAGAAACAAACTTATAAAAAAGTAAGTCAAGTTTGTTTTTTACAAAGTCACTTCTAATATATATATATAGGAATGGCTTCAAAAAATGCCAGTGTCAGATGTGCGCCCCAAGTTAGCAAAAAAGTCTGCATAGGAATTTTCTTCCCTATATATATGAGTTATAACAAAAGACATATTATAAACTATATTTTTACATTTGATCCATTTACCTTTGGGTTGTCAAGTTATCAAAATTTCTTTCGTGAAAGCTTGAACTACCACTAGAGAGTCGATTTCTATCCAAAACTTAGACCATGCTTTAGGCTTGACAATGTCAATAGTTGTAAAGCTGTAAACACGATAGAGAATTTGGTATGTAAGGAATTAGAAACCATAATAGGTTCAGAGAAACCAAGAATAAAGTTACTCAAATGATCTCTAAAAATGCCCCCACAACCACTTGCTTGGGAAGTCATAGCACTGTCATAGTTGCATTTTAACCCAAATATATTGGGGGGATGCCAGATAACTTCCTTCACCACATAAGCTTTCAGAGGATGCAGATTCACATTGAAAAATTTAAGAAGTTTGAAGCTAATCATAGAGAAGGAGGATCAAGGCAAAGAGTTATTACCAGTCATGGTGATTTGAGCTTTAATTTTGGAAATATTGTTGTTGAAAGTACGGATGATATTGAGAAACTTAGCAGAGTTCCTTGCAAGCCAAATAGCCAAAAGGATGAAAATAGAATAAACATTTATGGCAAGAGCTCCCTGAGGATAGATATTTTTTTACTGAGAGACCGCAATTCCTCTGAAGAAGATATGTTGATGGCATCCTTACGAGAAATGCCTAACCAGTTCCAAAATTATGTGCATAATTGCATTTAAAAATGTTATTTTCAGTAGGATTAGACTGACACTTAGTGATGTTAATGAACCAATCTCTTTTCAAATCATGTGTGATAAGCATCCTGAGTTGTGATACCACTGATCTTTGAATATTTTTTCTTCTTTTGTTGTGACCACCAACAACACTTCATCTTCTTTTTGTTTTGCAAGTCTTGCATCACTTTCTTGGTTTTATTTCTTGTCTCCTTGACATTGACTTACATAATTTCCATACTTATGACGATTATAACATTGAATATGGTTTTTGTCAAGTTTTCTTCCATCATATCTTCCTCTACCTACAACACCACTTTTGTGATTGCTTTGGCTTGTAGATTGTCTCTGATTTTATGAACTACCTTCTTGTTAGTTTCCTCTACCTGTCAAATCATTGTAGTCTCATCTACCTTTGTTTCTATTCCTTTTTCCTTTTCCATTCTTATCTTTAGTTGATTGTGCTTGCAGAACAACATCACTTTTTGTCTTGCTTGCTAATCTTTATGCTATTCTATGTTCATGAGTTCATGTGTCCCTTAAATCTCTTCTTTTGCATGTTTGACAAGTCTTTCGATTCTTCTATGGCTACTACCACATTATCGAATTTTTGAAGGAATAACCTCAAGATCTTTGTAACTATCGATCTTGATGTCAATACTTCTCCACACATCTTGATTTAATTCACTAGTCTCGTTACTCTGGTGAAGAAATCAGTAACACTTTTTGTTAGACTAAGGCACGGATCTAGAAGGGGGGGTTGAATAGATCCCTTTTAAAAATTTGAGTGGCGCTACCAATAAAATTGGTTTTCAAAATTGTTTTCAAATGCGGAAGCGGCCTTGGAAAATATAGTCTAAAACGAACAACTATTGGAGAGCCGGATATGCGTCAAGCGGATGAAATTAAGACGATAACGGATAGTAAATCACTACACACTTTTATGCAAAACTCAGATGTGATTCACTCGTACTATTTCCTTATTCCAATGATCAAAAATTACACCAGAACTAGCAGCAAAATTAAGGCAATTTTAGTTCAGCACTTTTGTCAAACAGTTGGTGTGCACAAAACTAGCAGCAAAATTAAGGCAGTTTTAGTTCAGCACTTTTGTCGAACAGTTGGTGTGCACAAATACCTTAAATGATATTTGTGTTGAATGAGTGATTAAAAAAGCCTTAGTACAGTATTTCTATTGTACTTAGTAGTTAAAAAACAGTGTTTCACCAACTCACTCAATCAATACTACAATTTGACAAAATCACTTATTCTAGAATCACTTAATTTTTAAGCTGTAATTGAAAAAGCAGAAAATAAAGGAACACACGATTTGATGAGGCAGTTCCCCCAGTCGTCCTCGCGTTGGGGTACGTCTGCCCTCAATTCTACAAAGAGAATTGAGATATGTATTGAATAGATATCACCTGTTTGGTAGAACAGTTATACACAAGAATCGATAGACAATTGATACAAACAATCTTAATGTTGCTGACAATTTCTACCACTTCTTGCCCCTTGATTCAAGATGAATCAAGTCCTCCAATTTGATGTGAATGACCTCCGATTGCAGCCACCTTATTGACAACTCTTCCGTTGATCAAACCTTCGGCACGGCTGATCTTAGACACACCCAAATTGAACCCGGAACGTCTTCAACCTTTCAACGCCCTAGCTACTAGATTGATCAACCTTCCGCTAATCAATCACCTTCGCACTCGCTTGATTGTTGAACCGACGATTCCGTAACAAAAGCCTTCAAAACCTGTAGTCTTGATAGGTAAAACCTCAAGGTTTTCTCCCAAGAAACACCTGCACCAGCTTCCACTCGAACCGGATCTTCAATCACGCGTTCGAACCTTATCACCGTCGAGCAAACCACAAACCGCAGCAAAAAATTGATTATCTGTAATTTGAGGATTTGTGAGTTGATTGAACGATGAAGATGAAGAACACTGATGCACCTCTTTCACGTTTCTTGACCTGAACACTTTCTCACAATGCTTTCAAAAATGTTATTGAAAAATGTTCTATGAAAAAATGTTTTTATTGTTGAAATTGAAAAGACAGCTATTTATAGAAATACAAAACAGACAGATGACAGATCAAAGAAACATAGCAGAATTTCTGTTTCTGCGCGCGAACGGTCGACCATAGGGTCGGCGTGCGCTGAGCCGTGTGACACTCAAACTGTCATGCGCCGAGTCAGCGGTCGACGCATGATCTTCATGTGCTGAGCCGTCTGATTCTTAAACCTGCATGCGCCAAGTTAACGGTCGACGCATGGTTCCATGCGCTGACCCGTGGGGAATACACAGCTTCATGCGCTGAGTGGTATGGTTGACTCATAGCTACAAAACCTGCAAAAATTGATATGTTTGTTGTTTCGTGCATCTTGTCACGACCAAACATTAGTCACATATATTGCCAATGAAATATGATGATTTAAAAGGATATAGGAAGGATGTAATATGTTAAGTATTGCATGACGATTCTGATTCATCCGAGGTTGTACTTTGTCATCATCGAAACTTGAGAACGTA